AATGACTAATCAAATAATATAGCAGCAAAAAGAATAACATCAAATGTCCATTTCACGGCCCTTTTAAAGACCTTTTTTTTTAGTTGTGACAATTTCGATTATTTTTTTTATGAAGTTAAGCTAGTCTGATGATTGATAGAGTAATGTTTACCTAATTCATTTAATATAACTTGAGAATTACGTTTTTGAGTTGTGTCACTTTCGAAGTTAAGGAAGCGATCTATTAAAATTTAAACATTAAACTATAAGGTAAAAAATGAAGAAACTATAACGGCCCGGTAAAATTTTTTCCGAGCTTACCCGACGGTGGCATAGGTTGTTGCGTAACTCTGCGCATGGGTCCAGTATTTGCAAATCTCGCTTGCTGACCCATACCGATACTAGCATGCATCATCTGTGCCTGGGCTGCGGCCTTGTATTCGGGCGGTGGCGGCCTTACGCTTCCCATTCCACCTGCCATATGCTGCTGCTGCTGCTGCATCACCTGTAAAATTAGAAGCATATAAATATCAGAAGAAAAAAAAAACCAACAAAGATATACGGAATGATAGAGGCAGAACGCCTCCCCTAATCTTAACTGAATATTTTAGAAGAAAGATATACTAAAATCGTGTCATATATCTTCCTGCATTTCTAAAGTCGAAGGCAGACACATCGACATATAGCGTTGGACGGAGCATTAGCATCGAAACCATCTTGGCAGACCTAGAAAGAGATAGAGCGATTGCGGGGGTAGTAGTGAATCATGTAATCAAAGGCCCTGAAGCACTAAGTTGATACATCTGTGCTCAGAGTGTTACTTTTGCACAAAATACACGTAGGAGCCATATTTCAAGTTTTATTTTGTATCTAATAATTAATAATGTAAGTTTAGAATTATCGTAGCGTGCATTAGTACCAGTGCTATCAATACTGTGATAGCTCCTGACTTAAAAAAATACACTACTGTCCTTTCCTGAAACATAATTCGACCAATAGAACAAGGGTAGAAAGAGAGTTTCATGTCCACTTAGCTACCTTACTCTTTCTAGATCCGATCAAGACGAAAGATCAAAGAGATTTCGCCGCATGCTTCGTCCAGTACTACATGTCGATGGGCAGACGCATTCACAGTGCCTTTTCGGTGACCTCACTTCGAAAGGTAAGACTTCGAGTTCGAAGCTGTATCCGACGCTGGTTAGAAAATCGGCGTATACTAAAAATCGCAGCGTGTGATTTTAAGGTCGGCTCGTCGCGGTTTCCGTCGGTCTTTCGCGGAGCCTCGAGAAAGCGAGAGAGCAGAAGGGCGTTGCACGCCTAATCGCAGGTTGTTGCTCGGTCGAGAGTGGAAAGAGACGCCGGCCGGCGCGACGAACAAGAGGAGGTGAGCGGAGAAGAGTGGTGCGAGAGCGGGAGAGCGAAAGGGTGAACGTATCCGACAGCGGCGGCGGCGGCGGCGGCGGCAAGAAAAGCGAGACGGGAGGCGAGCTGCATCCTGGTCGCCACGCCGATTCTAGCATCGCGGTTGCCGCCGCCGCCACCGCTTTGCATTGTCGTGCGTTTTCCTCGCAGCCGCGTAATATCGGGAAAACGCAAACTCGGACGCTCTTGCACAGCGAGATCGCCGCACCGTCGATCATCTATCCTGGTAAATCGTGCACAACGAGGCATCTAGCATCGATTACGATAAGCCACCCGATTGTGAGCGTCGTTGTTCAGAAGGAAAAGAAAATACGCTTCCAGAAAGAACGGGAATTTGCTAAAATATAAAAAAATTTAGCTAGATATACAGATCTAAAAATAATTTTGTTTAGACCATCAAAATGATTATGTGAGACGTTTAAATTGTGATTGCTGGAATATTGAGACTTCTTATAGTATTGTCATCAACGTTTAATCGTTTTACATAATTTTGATGATCCAACAAAATTATTTTTAGATCTATATCTAGTTAAATTTTTTAACACTTCAGCAAAACTCGGCGAGTTTTTTGGAGGTGAGTAAAATAATACCAGCTCTGCGCTGAACAGTCAACATAATTTTAATTTTAATTCGTTCTGTTCTGATTTATATTGAATTCGAATTTTCAATTTCGCAATCTCCAACGCGTAGCGTGACACGGGCTTAAGATAATTGTGGAAGTTTTGAAAATAATTTGTTCTCTTATTCTTTTCGTCATCGATTCTGTTCATGCGAATTTCGTAATTTTGCAAAAAAATTACCGAGATATTTTCTCATCTCGATTCGCATTTCGATAATGTACAACGAGAATGGGAATGGGTTTCTGCAACGAGAGCCCTGGCAATTCCTAGAACTCATAGACGTTGCACGATGATGCTCCTGTTGTTCTGTGCACGTTAACTATCCTAATGGATCGGAATGGATACGGGGCCGATCATCCCGTCAATTCCAATATCATCGCGAGGCCGCGAGTAAGCGCTAATTTAGATCGCGAGATCGCTACATGTTGCATGTAAGTGCGGAAAGAGAACAGATCCGCAAATGCAATATAGATATTAGTCTATCATTTCTGGCGCTTTTTGTTTTGCTTAAAAGATATCAGTTCCAACTCTCTTATTCATAACTTTGATTTGTGTGTGCTGAAACATTAGTAGAATCTAATTGTAAATAATTACTCCAAGAAAACAAATATAATTTAAAAATTATCATTTTTTAGTTGCTTGTAGAAAAAGAATAAAAACGTAAAGGAAAGAGAGAAAATATGTACTTTAATAGAATATATACTTTTATAATTTCTTTACAATCAATTATTATACCAAAATTTTATATATATATATTTCAAAATTAATATAACAAATTTTAATAATTTAAAACACTGAATTTTTATTTTCTGGAAAATTTTGTTTTCTGAGTTGTGCCGTTGTTGTAGCAAATGAGCGATATGCAGAAGTATACTGATAAAGGCTATGGTTCAAGGTAAAGCGATTCAAGAATCAGTCGAAAGAATTATGTTTCTTCAATTCATTGGGAGCGTTCTGTCTATTATTAATCAATTACATGTGTACATATGCAAAAATGTGTTTTGAAAGAAAGCAATATCGATTCGCGCATAATATTGGCTGAGTCCTCTTCATCCGGGATAAAATCATTGAGGCATTTGACTGGCTGCGCGTCGTTCTGGATGATGCACCGCTTTATCGCCTCGAGCTTATCCCCGACTGAACAGGATGACTAACCAATTGCATGAAACGTACAATTAGTAACTGGAGCACGAGCATCGTCGTCTTTGGTACCTTAGTATTATCGAGATAACAATCGGGCCGTTGCGGACTGAGTCATTCACCGATGCGACCACGCAAACTTTACGAGATCTCGACGAGTAGCTCCGTATACGCAATTTTGCAATTGCCAGTGTGTTGCACTTAGACGAAAAAAATTATGTAGATAAGGGTAAGATAAATTACCACATAAACCTATCTTAGATAACTGCATTTTATATATCTAGATAATAGATGAAATAATAAAGCGTTTCAATATAATTCAATATTATTTCTATTTAAAGATAATATCACTCTTTTTAGCAAAATAATTTAGAATATACATAGAAACTATATATATATATATTTGTGTATGAAAAAGGAGAATAGAGGGAATGCGTACCTAAGGAAAAGTAGAATATTTACGAAAAATGTTTTAAATGCAACAAGAGAAAGGATAAAATTAAAGCTGAATATCTCGTCTATCATGTATGATAGATTTAATAATATTTTCACCGCGTAATATGTGAAATTATTTCATTTTATAAAAAGTTTATATGCATCATATTACTCCATCATATAATGCAGCACATTACAGTTTTTATATTAAAAGATTTTTTTTTTTAATACCATTTCCTGATTCTATGTTAAATTTTGTTCATTAGTATGTCATAAAAAAACTCATTTTGAGAGCATAATCCCATAAAGCTTATTATGTAAAGCAAAAAAACACTGACCTGACCTCAAAACATAATTTAAAAATTTTTATTTTCGTCTTATTATTTCCCAAATGTGTCTGATGACGAAATATTATGAATATGTAAATAAAGTATTATAAATATAAAGAAGTATAAGACTTGAAAAATAAAAAATTCAGCTTTCTAATAACATAATAATGTCATAAATTAATTTAAAGAAAACAAAATTAAATATACTTGTTTGAGGTGCAATCTCACAAAAAAAAGTATATCAATCTAACTTTAGTCGATCAAAATACAATAAAACAATTTTGATATATGGATAAAAGTAAAAATCTAATTCTTTATAGATTTAGATTTTTAAATATAAAAATACTTCAATATTGAATATCTTTTTTTAAACTTAGATGATAACGTTGATACATATCAAGCTAATGTTCAGAATTATAAATTTGGAACAGTATTGATCTAATAATATTAAACATAAATATCCGATTCATAAGAAGAGATGCTTAAAAATCCTATACTGGGAAGTACATATATACTAAATTCGCTATACATTAAAATTTGGAAAAGATAACACTTCATTTATCTAAAGTCAAGGTGAAGATAATACATATTCTAGATAATATTTTATTAATTGTATCAATAATGATAAAATAAAGCCATTTCTTCATCTAGAAAATTATCTAGATAATTTTATATAAACAGCAAACACTAACAATTGCTAACTTCTCGACGACACATCGTCTAATCGTACAATGACTGTTTTACGCGATCATCGTGATTCTTGCAACAACCAACAAAGATGAATTAAATCGCGCGATACGAGCGCAACAAAAAATTACTCTTCATCTAATTCAAACCAATTTAAAAGTTTAAGAATGACTTCCCTATTATACCAAATCCTGAATGTACTTTGATCGAAGAGATTCGATTGAAAGTTTTCATGATGGAGCATTAAAGAGTCGTTAAAAAAAGGTTTTCTATCAAATTCTCTTTAAGAAAAGATAATCCCCAATTTCCTTCTCGTTAGAAAATATTTAAATGAAAGAAAAAAAAAAAATTCGAAAAGAATATATGCGCGCAATTAGAGAAAAAGATACAGTAGTGCCAAAATACAGATAAGTGACAACATATATAGTGTTATATATTAATATACATACATAGTTGAATAAACTATTTCGTAATTATCATTCGATTATAAAACAGTTTATTCGACTATATACATTAATTCTACATTCTATATGAAACTAGTATAGTTGTCACCTTTACTATGTTTTTCTCTCGAGTGTGAAGAGACCGACAAATTGCATTGTCGCTTGCTACGATATTCTTTGCGTGCGGAATAAGCGTGCTAAATTATACGTTTAACGTCGTCGAGAGTTTGTCGCCTTTAAGACCTGGCGAGGCGACGAGGAGCCATCACGAACAAAAGCGTACGTATCGACGACGCTTAATCTCGCGTGAAGTAATCGCTGAGAACGCTAATTCGCCGATCCCGCTCCCCTCGATATCACAGGTTCTCCCACAGGAAACTCCGTGGTGCGGTGCAAAAACTTTTTCGTCCATTGTTCCGGTCTCCCGGAGAAAGCCCCCCCCCCCCGTCCCCCCCCCGTCGCGCTCGCGCTATTTGTCCCATTTGTGTCGTTTCTTTCAACACGACGTGGCAGAAGTTGCAAAAGACCTAGTAGCGGTACCTGTTGCATACGGACGTCGCGGGCTCTTTCTCCTTCTCTTCCTTTCTCGCCGGATACGAGCTTAATGTCTCGGATAATGTGCCATCGCGCGATCTCGCGATTATCTTACCTGCATAGACGATCGTCAGGAGGCGGAAAGCTTTCGCCCCGGAGGACCATATCGGTTATCGGCGTAACGGCTCGCGGAATCGCGATTCTCGCGAGCGCGAAAACGATATCCGTCGGATGGAGGTGTGAAAACGCACGAAGAAGACGATGATAATCGCATTGAAGATGAACGTTGCACGTGTGATTGTGTTACTACAAACGCGGAGCGATTCGACACGAATGAGAATTGAACGTGCGAATTTACGTACTGATCGTGAAAAAGAATTTCTTCGCGTCTACGATGCGCGTATGAAGATCCGGATGGAGGTCGTTTGCATCGATCGCGAAATTGCTCGGACAAGCGCGTGACACGTGTCGCTGTCGCACGTGGTCACCGTCGATACGCAGTATCAGTACAGAACACAGTACAGAAGCGCGCAGCAATGTTATCGCGAATATCGTGGCGATATTCTTAGAACAGTTCGCGCTCGCGAGGTAACACGAATGAATTGGTGATTGAAGACGAGGAGCCGGGTCTCGCTTACCTGTTGCGCGCGCATCAGTTGCTGCTGCTGTTGCAGAAGCTTCGCGTGCTGGTGCTGATCGACCTGGCCCGGCGGCACCTGCTGCGGATGGCCCCGAGTTCCTGGGCCGGCGGCGCCCGGCTGCGGCATTCCGCCGGCGGCCGCGGCCGCGGCCGTCGCCCGCTGCCGCAGGCTCTGCTGGGTGAAATTGATGGTTTGGGACTGCGAGACCGAGCAGTAGGCGTCGGCCTGATTAGCCGACGGCCCGGCCTGATTCTGCGTCTGCTGCTGGTTGAAGAACATGCCCTGCTGCGCCGCGACAGTCACGACCGGTTTCAGCTCGCTCGTCACCTGTAAATGCTGCCCCGCCGACACCTGCAACGAAACAATACCATATAATTCGCATTTGTAGTTTCGTCTACCTTCGCGGTGTGTGCGGATCGCACGGGAATCCTCGAGCTTGCGTCGGCGATCCTTAAATAAGAGAAGAAGGCCACCGTCCCTGAAGAGTCAGTTAAATGCGTAAAACCGATTTTCTTATGGAGCTATTCATTTTCGCGTCGCGAGCTTCTCATAGAACAGTCGAACTGTGGATGATTCAGAAAAGAAACTCGTGCAGAAGTACGAGTGTCTAGTAAACATAAATTGGCGTTTAACACGTTGAGTTTTTCGCGCGCGCGAACCTTTTTTACGATACGCGATGTTGCGGTGCGTAATAACAAGTTGTCCGTTTAAATTGGTTTTAAACACGGGATTCGTCTGTCGAACGGGACATGGGCTAATGTTGAAGTTGATCTCTGCTTCTTTAGGCACTTTAATGACACGCGTGATTACACAGTGGCTAACTTGCTAATTGCGCGCACGCAGGACGCGGTAAAAATGTTATGAAGGCTATAAAACGCTACAGAATTACACACTCGCCCGCCCAGTAATCATCTTACTATCAAACATTTCTTTTTTCTCTTAATTTTCTTTTCATTGTACCGCCTATTTTGTCGCCACGCGTGGCTTTCCAAGCCTTTAGGGACATTTCGAATTTAAGATCACACACACACACACACCCACGATGCACACAAATCTAAGAGCAAAACTTAATCTTCCACCAAAGTTGAACTAGCCATGTTCAACTTCAAAGGTACAGCTGATATTTGGAATTCTGATAGAAATCTGTAAGAAAATAGAGTTTTAACTCTTCTCGATAGTAAAAATTCGTTAAACTTTTTATCAGAATGGATTTTTTCAGATTTTTATCAAGTCTGGAATATAAAAGTCTGTATTAAAGTTCAGAGATTCAGGTTGTGGATGGAGAGTAACATCGTGTGAACTTTGATAGATTTAAATCTGCAAAAAGTAAAATTTGTAAAATATAATTCGACCTCTATGATAGTAAAAACTCGTAAAAATTATCGTAAGTATTCTTTCCAATTTTTATACAGTTCGAAATATAAATCTGCACAACGAAGCTTGAAGACCCAAATTGCTAACGCAAGGTGCAAGATTCCGTAATGATTAATGAAGAATTAACGATTAAAGGTATTCTGGATTTAGGCACTCTAGGTTATTTCCGTTGTTATGCAGGAGTTCGCAGTGACGGAAATGATGCCTTTCGACGGCGACAGGATATTATCGCCGGGTGGACAGAAATTTCTGAAAAAGAGGCAGCTGACAATAACAAACGGTGACTATCGTCTCGCTGTCGTCGGGGACGTATCACTGGCGATTATACGAAATAGTCACCGTTTCTCTATATTTCATACCGCGTGACGAAAGAGAAGCGAAGAGAGAAGTGGTCGAAGGATAAGCCACTACCGTATCCCGCGGGCGGCGACCCTTCGATCCTGCAGGCTATCAAACCCTCGTAATCTAGTAAGCGACTTTGTATCCCCGATACACACGTATGCATACACGTATCTGAACCCTGCGAGACTTTAAACATCGCCAGATTGCGTATCTCGTCGTGTGCACAGCTCGCTACCGCGCATTTTTATTCAAAATTGCACATTTCAGCGTCGATCGACTATCCAGTTTTTTCAGCTCGTGGAAAAAAAAAAAAAAAAACACAAGAAAAATACATTCCTCTTGAACGCTTCTTAAAGCGTGTATAAGATGATACGCGCTGTGTATAACTGCGGTACTTAAATATACATGTAGAACACAGACGATGACAGACACTTATGCAAATGCAATAGGTGGTGTGGAGTCGTCTTCTGCGCTGATAACTGCTCAGTTTACTAAAATTGTCGAGATATATATAACGTGCATACGTATATATATAAGTATATATGTATACGTATAGGTACATAAGCAATACATGTGAGTATATAAGCAGCATGTGGACGTTGTGAGCTGCGAACAAGACCGTCTACCGATACGCCACGATAATTATACACGCAGTCAAGGATTGGTATTTAGTACAACCGGCTAGTAATTTCGCTATATGTACTATATACATATGTACATATACACGTGTATGTACTGTACCCCATACATATTGTAGACGCTATGTACAGCTACATTTACACGTATGAGCGAATTATCACGTCTATCCGCTGGATGCGTATCCGTGTACACGTGTATTTCGCACGATAAGCAGCCATAATATATATAGATACAACGTGCAATATTCCAGAGTACCCGCCAATCCCTTTGTCGAAGCTGTTATGGGAGTATTTATTATAACAATCCAAATGTTTCACGCAAATAAATGAATGACTGGATACTTTATTCGATCAAAATGAGATACACGGACATCTACCTCATTCTACCTCAAGCAGGCCCAGGAAACGTGACGATTCAAATCGCGGATGGTGCCCAATCTCTCTCTCATGTCTATTTTCACAATACACGGTTTACCTAGTAAAGAGTAGAGGTCATAATAAAATTCATCGATTTCATGAATTTCTTCAGACACAATGTTATAATCACGCAATGCGATTCATAAATTTCCTTAGGTTAACCTTTGGGTAAACCCATGTACTGTGGTAATACGGGTCTTACGTGAGGATTTCAACGGACTGAAACATGTCTTGCGATAACATGACAATGTCGAGACACCGCGTAGACATCCCGATAGAGCGTACGGAGAGATACGCGAGCCGGTAGGAGGAACCTACTTGGCCATCGGTCGCGCATAATTAGCCTAAATCACGGGTAGCGTCTCGCCAAGGGGGTGGCATCCTGGATGCGACATCCGCATAGCACGTGTCTCGTCACTGCGACCGCGACACCTCGCCGAGGGCTCGGAGGGAGAGACGGCTCAGCCGGCTCTCCCGTGTCACCACTTCGTGGGTGCCGTGAAGCAAGAGGGTGGGGCACGACGAGGCGCCTCGTCGAGCATACTAATGAACGCTGACACGCGGGGCGCGTGACGCTCTTCCCTGACACTTGGGAGTTAAAGACTTTTACTCTAATAAAACCATCGTCCGTGCGCGTTTTATCGATCGAAACCGTCGCACAATTGGAGCTCCCTTCACTTCCCTCTCCGCTCCGAGCTCGAGCTCCGAGCGGGGAGGAAGTCTCGCGAAGTAAAGAACGACTTCCTTTACGATTTGTATTCGAGCGTGTACTTCGTTTGAAATCCTTCCGGTGTTCGGGGGTTCGTACTAGTGGAAGCACGGAGGAGTAAATCGAAGACGCCGATATTATACAGCGTAAAATTGATCCATTTTTTTAAGGGAGCAGATGAGACGAACCGTTTTTGAAAAATCGATGTCACACTGGGGTCTCTTGGAATGCCAACACTCCAGCAAGATCCTGTAATTAAGCCCTCGTTAATAATGTGACCGTCATTAACGAGTAATTCGCAGAAGCCAATAAACCGAAGGAGCCCATAAACTAGAATACCTAGATTCGATCGATTTATTACGCTCACATACCATTTTTATATACAAGAGATATATGAATATTTAATTGTAATTTGTATTCTGAACATATTTATAGCTTTTCCGTACGATTGGATCAATTTCTATTCTTTTTTTTTTTTATGTAAGATATTTTTATGTTTAACTTCTCTACTAATTTTCTGATCGTTTAACACGAGTTTTGCTTCAATACCTTTAAAAAGGTCGCCAATATTTAAAAAATCGACTTAAACTCTATCAAATTCATATATCTCTGAGAATAAACAAGACTGCTAAGAGTCTACTAGATTTATTAATTATTCGATGAATTTTTTGCCATGTACATTACATATTCTCTCTCTTTTCCAATAATATCAAATCTAACTTTAATCCATTATATTATATCTTCAATTACTTTTTTGTTATATCTTTTCTTACTACATATCGTATCATTATATCTTCGATCAATGTTATTAATCGATTACTTGTTACGGTCACTGAACTGATTTACGCTGCGTTCAAAAATATTATCAGAGCGTCTCCGAGTTTCATTTCATCCTTGTTATTCATCGAAAATTAAATAAGGATAAAATGATACTCGGAGGTACTCGGATAATGTTTTTGAACGCGTCCTTAAGGGGATGCTGGAGCGACGGTTGAACTTAATTGATGATAATACACTTTTTAACTCCAAATTCAGTTTCTTACATTACCATTCTATCTCACTCAAACGCGTACATCTATCCTTATCTAACATAATGCAATACCATCTCTTGCAGGATCCGGTACCTACTGCTAGATATGATTACCGCTGTTTTCCGATTTCACTCGTAGCGTACAAATGAAATTTTCAGATTCTCCTTCCTCTTGTACTAAAGCTCTTACTTTATTTCTACAAGCGTAATGTTGTTTTTTCCTGTCATCTCTATAAATGCAATATCAAATTAAACGTATAATTAGATAATTTCGCGGGGTGGGGGGGGGGATGTGCAACTCCTGTCTACGCATTTTTATGAAGCTCTATTTAATACCCTATTAACTTCCTCACATCTCGGACTTTTGACAGGGCGTGTAATTGTTCTTCCTGTCTACTTGCCTCTCTCATCTCTTGCCTCAGTTGTCACGCGATGCTAAGGGAAGAATATACGTTTATCTCGTGAACTGATTACATCTGTAATTAAATATCCCGTATATCATATATAGAATGAAAGAACTGTATTATTTCATCACCCGGCGTTTAATTGATGACTTTATTTGACTTTTGTTAGAGACGCTGAGAATAACATTATATTATTATAAGAATAGTATACATCCTAGAACACGCAAATAAAAGATGATTTGACAGATTTGCTGCATACTTTACTGATGATAAGAAGGTACGAAAGTTCTATTATATTATTAATCAATAATTAGTAGTTTTACAAAAAAAAAAAAAAAAAAATGAGTATCCACATGAAACTTTGTTTCGTCGGTAATTGATAAATACTAGGATATATAAATGTTACTGTCGATGGTAGAAAGATAAATGAAAGTGTA